ACCATTTACAGGCTAATTGCGATGCTTATCCATGTTCAGCAGCTGGAAGAGATAATGGATAGGGATTGCGATAGGGATTCCACCAATCAATATAAGCCTCAAATTGTCATCGAGAGGTTTACATATCGTTTCTACACACCGAGTCCCCTTTCGCCGGAAATTCCCCAATCGAAATAAACAATTTATTCATTTAATGCCGAGCATTCGCTGCTCATTTGCCACGATTATTTGCATAAACAGGCCCCCCAGACTAACCATTTGATAAATATTCAATTAGGCATAGACCGAGTGCAATTCAAATTGTGGAAATATAATTTTTATAATTTTCCACCAAACTGAATTTTGCATTTTCCGCATTACACATTACACAAATGCAGCAGAGATTGAAATTACAAATTAATCGACTGGGATTTGCAATGCAAAAACGGTTGAAATTGTAATCCCAGTCGTGGTTTTATTCCACAATTTTTTTTCCACATTTTTGGCGCCACCTCTTCTTCAGGCCTTTAAAGGCTCCGACTTTTCAGAAGATCGAGCCACGAAAGACGCTAATTATGTTTCAGCTTTGTATGCTTTGTTGCCACTTCCCGTCGTTAATTTGACTGAATCTGAACGTTTTATTGGGCATCGAAATGCAATTAAAGGCCATAAAAGGAGTCTCAACGCAACTTATATATGTGGCCAACACATGCCACTCGGTTTGTCTGTCGGCTCTTAAAGGCGGCGCCAAGTTCTTTGATTTTTAACACCTTTTTCCTTTTTGCTGCTAGGAATCCACTACCACTGCCACTGCCTTATGCTCTGAAGTGTGAACATTTGGTGTGAACTTGTAGAAAAACATTTGTTAACAATGTGATTTTAAGCTGGCATTGTCTTTGATATACAGAAAAAAAAAGGAAATTTGGGGATTACAAGTGTTGACTGATATGCGAATTGATTTTCAATATAACTTGACCATTTCTCCTTCTATATTATGTATTGAAAATATAGCTATTTTAGTTTTCCAACATCTGCTCCTTTTAATAACGTTTTGGAATATTCCCTATTAAATTACAAGTGCATTCACTTCGTCTCAAGTTTCAATTTCCATTTTTATAACCCAGCAATCATAACTCTATGAAAAGGAATGATATAGCTGCATATCTGCTCCGATATACGACTTAACGATTCAAGTTCATGAGCAATTTTAACGAGTCTTCTGTCTAATCAAGTAACATGACCAAAATATGGAGGGAGAAATGTTGGTTGGAGAAACCCTTCAACAAAAGAAAAAACACAGAAACATTTCTTATGCTTGTAAGTACTCCAAGTGATTACAATTTTTATGTGCACTTCAGCCGATGCTTTACGAGGCCCCGGACACTGCTTTTGCATACAAATACGATTCAAAATATCATATCTTTGTATTTGTAGTGCGGTGTAGACGAGAACATTTTTAATGACACTTGTCGAGGAATTCGTTTCACTCAAAGCCAAAACACAATTTGTGCATTTTTCTCTAAATGATTTCTCCGCTGGGTCATATCTTTATTGGATAATGTATTTATGTATTTGGTATATGTGGTTATATAATTTTAATTTCTTTTCATATGAAACTGCCCATAAAAGTTAAATGTGGAGGCCATAAAATGCAAAGATCAGGCCCTGCGCCTTGTTGTGGCCAAAAGGTGTGAATTTCCTGTGCATTTCACCCAGCTCAAGGAGCAAAGGAAAACGAAAAGTGTAATAAAAACTTCCTAAAATTATATGTTTCGTTCCATCCATAAGACTTTATGAGTTGGCAATTTGATTTGTATCATCAGACGTTTTTGATGGGAACTTATTCTAAAAGGAAATCTCTTTGCCTTTCTCCTTTTTTTTTTCTCATATGCTCTTCAAGTGATGCCAAAATATTAGTTGCTGCCTCTTGAGCAATTTCACGAAACGAATTGTAATCATTGAAATGTATCTAAACAGACGCAAGACTAAGGATCTTCAGCTGCGGTTACTTCAAAGCCCTCATAGAGATCCAGTGATCGCAGTGTTCTTGCCTCCCGGCATGTGGCAAACAGATGAGAACCTCGAGATGAACCTTCAGTTGAACCTGCCCAACCTAATGAAGCCATTAGCAGCGCCTTATCGGAGTGCTCAAGGATCCTCGAAACGAAACAAGACGAGGCACAAAAGGTCTGTCTAAGTATTGTCTTTGTCTTTGTCTGAATTCGCCCTTTGTTGCGGGGCAACTAATACGCCTAAATTAGATCGAGATCGGGATCGGAATCGAGGTGCTCGGGGTGCCTATGTGGCAGCTGTTGTTCAAGATCCTCCTCCTGCGAATCGCCAGTAGGTGTATCCTGACTCTTGCGGCCAGCCATTAACTTCACTTTCGATGACTTTATTTTTACTTTTTTTTTGGCAACACAAACCGACACAAATCATGCTGAATAGCACCTGATGCAGTTGGATCATTAGGTAATTACCGGCAGAAAGATGCAAAATATAGACGGCTTGAATTATTCGAACCAAGATTAGTAGAAGTACCCCTGTAGACGGTATTATAATTTCAGTAAAGCACATTTCGGACCTAATGAAGTATATATAATCACCATCCTAAGGCCTTTCGATTGACCGTTACCATTTTCATGTTAATTCTTTTTAGGTTTCCAGTGATCATAGAAAGGTCACTCACAACTGCACTTTATAATGACATATCTCTAAAGACATTTTATCATTGATCGAAATTTTGACTCATTTTCAGGTTACTCACATTTGGACTTCTGGACTCCATAACTTTACTAAATTTAATCCGATTTCAAAGCGGCATACCTCTAAAGACTTGTGGACTGATTATCTAAAAATCTGCATTCAAATTTATCATTTAATCTTTGATCGAAATTTTGACCCATTTTCATGTTAGTTATTTTCAAGATTTCAATGACTTAAAAAGAGATTTGGACTTCTAGACTCCATAACTTTTCCAAATTTAATCCGATTTCAAGGTGGCATACCTCTAAAGACTCGTGGTTTGATTATCTAAAAATTTCCAATGTATCATCTTAACGTTAATTCATTTTTGACCCATAACATGATGGTCAGAGACCTTGTTTATTTCGAATTTTAACTAAACCGATGTCTGTTATAAAATGATTACAAATGCTTACTTTTCTTAGACCTACTTTGTCTAAAACATATAGTTACAATTCTTTTTCCATATGCTGGTCTAACCGCAGGCATAAATTGTATGGAAAATATTATCTGTTCTACAAATATAGCGGCACTTAAGCACAAATGCCGCCACCCACCGGTTACCCTTATTGCACCACCCCTCCTGCAGCACCCCTTGTGCTCCACCACCTCCTGCGCCAATGTCGCAACACTTTCCAGACAATTGCAATAGCGAGTGCAACAAGCGTCGCAAAAGTTGCAGCCTCCCGCGTTCCTCCCGCATGTTTTATTACTTCCGCGCACTTTCGCTTCAGCAGAATGTGGCATATACGTAGTATGTGTGTGGGAAAGTTCTCAGTGCGTTTAGCAGTTGGTTAGCGGAGTGCCAGGCGTTCTAGAAGGGGCAGGGGTATGTATATAGGAATAGGAAGTAAGCTTCCTTCATCCTCTGTTGTCTCTGGCGTTGTTGCCACATTTTGGCGGTGGCGGCGAATGGTTTCCTGTTGGAGATGCGTTGCCACATGTGTATAATCGCACTGGGAAAAATTGCTTCAGCAGAAAAGATTTAAACGTGCCTAAATATACAACTTAAATAAATAAAATAATAAATTTAATAAATCTTCTTTGGGTCTTGTGTATATTTTCAGAAATTTGGTTTTAGTTTGTTTAAAATCGGTCGACTGTATCATATGACGCTTTTACTTCAAGATATATCCATTTCTTACACTTTCACTTATTCAATTGAACTTATTTAATATAGCTGTTAAGGAAGGAAAAGGATTTTATTTACTTATGTTTTAGAAAATAATTATAAAAAAATGTTTGTAGCTTAATACAAACTTTTTTACGCACAGTGCACGGGGACACATGTGGCTTTGCAAAAAAAAAATGTTAAGGCTGAAGATGCAGCATCCTTGCCAGGATACACAGCCCAGACGCTGGCAACTGTTCACTTTCGCTGCTCCCCAGCTTCTCCTGGTAAGTCCTCCTCCGCGTCCGCTTTTTCCATATTTTTCCTTTTTTGTCATTAAAGTTTAACCGCGGCATCTGTCACTGTTTCTGCTGGAGGAACAAAATTTAAAGCCAGCTAAATTTTAATAGCCCTTGCAAATTTCCAGGGAGCATCAGCAGCAACAGTCGCAGTACATTTACAAAAAACTGGAGCAAATGTAGATGTTACTTCTTTTTTAACTCACTGCTTTTTGCTCCTCGTTTTTGTGCTTTGGTTCCTTTTATTGCCGGCATCTCCTTTTTACGGCCAGTTGCAGGTTTGTGGCCTCGTTTTGGCCACAGCTACTCCGCCATATATCAAGAATTAATTAGCGTAATGCATTCCAAAAGGAGGACCACTTCTTTTATATGGCCCACTGATCGTGAAAAGTGTTTACTGCGGACCCGAGTTTTTTCACATTTTTCTTTAGCTAAAAAGGAAGGAGAATTTGCATTAAATATGCATAACAAGCATTTGCATGATGACAATGCCAGGGTTGCCAGCGATTTGAATTTTAATTTTTAAGTTTCTGGGGAATGTTTTAATTGATGAAATGCCCAGAGAGTAAATGGTGTAAAATATTTATATATGCAAAATTGAACTTCGTTTAAAAAAAAATGATTTAAACACACTTTATTCCGTAGGTAAAAATAATAATTGTCCACTGGATTATTTAAAAAAAAAAAAACAAATTTTACAAAGTTTATTATTGTATATTATTGAAAATTTTGTAGTGACCAAAAGGAGATGGAAGACTTCAAAATAATTAGAGAACGCTCAGTCCCGAAGTAGTTAAACCTAATTTTGCTGCTTTCTTCTTTTATTTTAAGAATATAAACCTATTCTAGGATCCTGGATCTCGTGCCTATCCAAAATTACGATACACCAAAAGAATCCAGTCGATGTAGCTCAGGACATCCGTGAAAGCACTTGCCTTCGAGCACTGGCTGTTCGTGAAGCTGGCGATTCCGATTTGGATGAATCGGTGCGAGTTTTGGAATGGGATCAATGCTCCCACTGGTCCACCGGAATCGCCGTTGCATAAGTTGCTATCCCAGTTTCCGGCACAAAACTGTTTGTTCGTAATTGATATATGCGCATAAATGCGGCAGATCTCCGGAGGTTGGCGACTTAGGTCTAAGGTCATGAGTTTGCTACTGCTGACATCAGACTCGGTCTTTCCCCATCCAGTGCCAGTGACCGGATCTATGGCGTTGATCCTGTCCCTCCACGTAGTGTCCCACACAATGCAGATGGGCCTTATGCTGTCTATGATCCAGAATAAACAATTAAATTTTAACTTAGAATAATTTGGAACTTGTACAGGAGTCTTGAAACCCACCTGTATATTCGATTCTCCTGATTAGCCGTAAAATAGCTATATCGTTGGCCATTGTATCTGGGTTGTACAAGCGATGCCTGAAGGCCCTGTGCACTTTGACCTCCGATCGAAAGACACAGTAACTGCCATGGCACCGGTCATAATCCTCTCTGTCGTATTCTCCCAGACGAGCTACTCTGTATAAGGGAAAAAAAAGATTTACCCCCTGCTTTTTTATATAAATTGGTAATTAACTTACAGCTCAATATTGGGGAGAAAGCAATGCGCTGCAGTTAGTACCAGGCCTGAAAGAAAGAACAATAAGCTTTGAGAAATGTGGGTCTATTAATACTTACGGTTAGTAATAAGAGTTCCGCCGCAAATGAAATCTCTTTGAGTTGAGAGGAGGAAGACCATCCAGGGACTCGATGTCAATCCAGCGACCGTTCCATTCTTGATCCGTAATGACGTGGGACTGGGAGCTCGAATCCCACAGGCCGGATCCAGAAATTGGGCGGATCCCAACAGCGGGAGTAGAAGGCAAGAAATCCCGATCAGAACGGTTTTCATTTTGCGACTGTTGTCCGAACCTGCGATTCTTTAAGATTAATAGTCACCACAGTCGGTCTTATCAGGCGCTGAATTATGAGGAACTTATATATTTACGGAAAACGCCGCTTATATATATATATATTATATTCTTTTGAATTATCAGGAGTTATTTATATTTAATTCATTCGGACTTATCGGAAATTGATTAAAGCATTATATATGTACACACATATGTGGAGGAATTCTATGAAATCCTTTAAACGAGGGCAAGTTATTAAGAGTGATTTTGTAACTCTTAATACTTTAAGACAATTATTTATTTTTAACTTACTTAAGTCGTCTTAGGCACATGCCCCTTTAAAATTCATTCAAACACAATTTAAGTCATTTTCTTTTAGAGTATTAACGTTTATTGATTAACATTATTTATTTAGAAAATCTATACAAAATTTTATACCCGAACCAGAAATTGGGTTAAAAATCTGGCTGTGGCTTCGGCTCGATTTCAAAACCATTTTGAATTTTAAAATAAACTTTCGTTGCCATATTTGTTTACTACCAATTCGATCCACTTTCTATAAGTGATCACATCCGTATAGACACTCGGAGCCCGGCATTCCAAGTCTCCGAAGCTTGTGAGTCCGTACTGGACGAACCGAAACGTCCCGTGGTAGTTCACCATACCGCCCAAAGGTCCGCCGGAGTCTCCATCGCAAGTGTTGGTGGCACTGTCTCCGGCACAGATCTGATTTGGACCCAACGGCACATGGTAAAGCTCGCTGCAGAGGCTCCGATTCTTAACCTGAATGGTGGTCTCGTGGAGAACGGTGGCCTCGTGTCCGTTGTCGTTTTTCCCCAGCCGGTGGCCGTCAACGATGTGATATTGTCCAGCAAGAGTTTTCTCGCAGGATCCAGGACAATGCAGATAGGCCTGATGTGGACTTAAAAAAATATTTAAAAGCTTGTTCAATTCTACTAACTTATTTGGTTTGGACCAATCATCTTAGCATTAGGATATTTAGTGTGTTTAATCTGCTAGTGAATTGAGCATTTATACTTTTTGTTGTTAAGAGCTCGATTTTCACCGGCGGACTTTACTAGATTGAGTTAACAATATGGTCATATTATGTTAGATGTGTAAATAAATGGACATTATAGTCAGAGGTCAACTTACCATTGTACTCCACAAATCTGGCCAGTCGGAGCATGGCGATATCGTTTAAAAAGATATCACGGGTGAAGTATTTATGCATTATGCCCAGATCAACCATGTAGTCCTCTGCTGGTAGTTGGCATGATGACTTCCCCCTAGTAACAAGACTTATTCCTCCCAGTCGAACCTTCCTGCAGGAGGGAAATCTTTAGCTTATATTTAGTAAACTTTTCCGACTGAGAGTACTCACAAATTCGGAACCCCATAAAGGCAATGGGCGGCTGTCAGGACGAACTCTGAAAGGGAGGTATTAGCAACGAAATAAAAAGGATTATTGTCCTGATAATACAAACGGCGATTGATGAGCGTTCCACCACAGTGAATTCGGGAATCGTAGTGCAGAAAGGCCATCCATGGATGAGAAACGATCTGTGTATCTCTGCCTCCGATAATTCTGGTTCTGTAACTGGGGACTTCAGCTCGAATTCCGCAATTCGGCTCTAGAAGTATCGCAAATCCCGTTTTACAAAGAATCAAGCTGAATGCGATCACAATGACAGTGACGTATTTCATCGCGAGTCAATGAATTGAAATGCACTGAGGTCTGGGCGGATCGAGCGTATTTTTTAGTACTTATCAGAAAATGTCTTATCAACTGAGCGAAGCTTGTAGAAATTTCGCTCACAGCCGGGCAACTCAGAAAAGAAAAAAACATAAAAACAACCAAAATGCATTTAAGCAAAATGTATAGCGATTTTTAACCTGCAAGTTTAAAATCTGTCTGATTCTTTATTTTTTTTTTTTTTTTTTTATTTTTTTTTTTATTTTAAAAAAAAATTTTTTTTAACAATTTTCATATTTTTCATTCATCATGTTATTTAATGCTTTTTGCGAAAAATGATCTGAAATTTAATTGTACTGCTTTGAATGGCAAATCGATTGAGAATTTTATAACAAATTTAACGAGGTATAACATTTCAACATTTGGTCATTTTCCTCACGGTTTGCTAAAAAAAACGAAACTTGTAAAATATATTTATCGGCAGATTTTTTTAATAAAATACTTTTCGTTTGTTAACCTCTATAATTGAAATATATCTGATTACTCTTAGCCAGTACTCGCCGACATCTGGATTGATTGCAGTTAAGTTGCCTTAATTAAATTTGCGGCGAATTAAATGCGCCCTTTTCCTCTTTAACCCGTTTTTGCCAGGGCCTTCAGACCACGCCCACGAGGGCCGAAAAACGTGGCTGTTGACAGGCGACGATGACGATGACGTCCTCGGTTTTGGCCAGGTGCAATGTGTAAGGTGATGGGGTTGGAGGACACTATCGCCATTTTTTTGTCAGCTGCTTGTGGCAGGCGACATCAGCAGAAACTGCAGGAAAAGGAGGAAGGCGGCAGCAGAAATGCATGCCAAATTAAACAGTAAGTGCAGCAAGCCAAATAAGCTCTCCCCGCTATAAACAAAAAAAAGTGAGGGTCCCAAAACCCGAAAAGCCAAAAAAGCATTCGACCAACCCAACCGAACCAAGCCAACAAACAAACAAACAAACTGGCGAATGCAGTGTGAAATTTTAATGCACAAAATTGCATGTGTGTTTGTGGCCATTGTTGTTGCTGCTGGCGTTTCCCTTCAGCCAACCAACAAACAGCAACAACACAAATTACTGGCCACGTCAACACACGGAGAAAAAAGAGTGATACGAAATGAAACTGTTGCTGTCAGTCTGCGGCAGCAGCAAAATCAGCTTCAGGCAATGCAAAATACAACAGCAGCGGAATAAAACGAGAAAGCCAAATTTTAGTTGGCCAGCAGAAGTCCTTATACCCTTGTTGAAAATTAAAAAATTAAAATTAAGTTTAAAGTTTTTTTTTTTGGCAGTTTTTATAAACACAGTAAAAAACTAAAGGCTCTGAAAGTATTTTGAATGTTCTAAAAACTTTAAATTAATAACATTACCTTAAATTATATTTTAAACAGAATAATACAAAAATATTTATATATGCCTAAAAATGTCTTAAAATAAACAAAGAAAAAAATAATTGTAGTACTTAACTTCTTTGGTAGAATATAGTTCGAGTTAAAAAAGTTAGAATACACATTAAGTTTCTTTACACAATAAAGATAAATATAAAAAGAAAATAAGGAGAGGTTTAAGGTTAAATAAGGTAAGTTACGTCGCAAACATTTGACCCAAGTCTTAATGCCTCCTTAAAAGGGTATGAAAAAGGGTTAAAACATGGTAACAGCAATTCATTGGCCATGAAGTTTTCCACCTGTCGACAATGCGTTGATTGCTCCCGCTCCTCGAGAGCAACAAAATCGGACAAGTTGAAGTCGAAGTTGCTGTTGCAGTTGCAATTCTCAGACGCTGATTGTTGCCATTTGCCGGCGATTGGAGACCGATAAGTGCGAAAGAGATGGTGAAAGAGGGAGACAGCTGGGCAGAAAGAGACGGAGCACCGAAGCTTCCCCTAGAATTCAACGAAGCGTAGCCATAAAACAATGACTGGGGACCCTTCTACTTGGTTTATTGCATTCATTTAGCGCATTCCCAAACAAAAGTCGCTGTGTGTGAGTGCTTCGTTTTTTTATAAGCTCCATAGGCAGGGCATTTCTAGCAGTTTTAGCTGTTTTATGGCCCTGCCACACGCCATCTTGGCGAAACTCCGGGGCAACACTTCACCCGCCATTGTTGGCAATCATTGAGGCGTTAAGGAAAAACATGGAAATTGCATGCGAAAGTCAATCAGCAAAACAAAACATGGTCCAAAGTTGACAAAAGAGTGGGAGTAGTATTTAAATGTCTCTGGGAAGCCAAAGAAATTCTGTTTCAAAGAGTTAAAGCGTATAAATTGAATAGATATTTACTTTTGCTTCTATAAATCCAGTTTTGTTGATGCTATTCTCGATATCCGAACTCTACAATAATATTATTTTTATATTTTATTTGGGGAATATATATTCGTTGTGTTAATTTGTGCTTATACATTTCTTTAAACATCCTAGAATATCAAATTCTCGTTAAAACAATTCAGCAAGAGAAGATTTCGCATGGATAATTAATAAGTTAGTTCCAATCAATCTCGTTCAAAATAATATTTTAAGTCCCCGTATTTATTTCAAATTATCAACATCAAAATGTGAGTATGGATGGAAACTTGTGTTCTTCAATTAGCTCTGAACGTTTAATTTCTGATGACTCTTTGTTTTGCGTGCTCGGCTCTTGTGTTCGGAGTTTGTTTTGCAGAATGGAAGAGAACTCATGAATGCCGTAGCCTGATTATAAACATTATGTACTCTGGCTTGGCCATTTGCCTGTGGAAATGCTGGGAGATTTCTGAAATTTCACACAAACGAAGGAGAAGCTTGATGCAAAGAGGTGTTCGTCTCGTTTGTTCGCAGGTCGATGCATTTTAATGATGTGCCGGGGCCCCACAAATATAATTTCATTTTTGCATTTCTGCAACTTTCGCAAACTGCAGACTGCTGACTGCAAATTGATTGCCGGCCAACAAAAGGGCAGAAACTGCAGCACTCACGCAACGCATGGCAACAATTGCAGTCGGTTTAATGAGCTCAAAAATGCGCGCAACAATGAAGAGCTGGCCAGGCTCCAAACCAAGGGCAATTTCCCAATGGCCAACCCCACGCGGCATCCCACATCGCCCTTCCCCCTGTGCAATCCCCCCCTTTCCACCCACTTAGGCCACTGCATTCGTGTAATTAAATGCAATTTTATTGCCACGATCGGCGGGCGAACAAAAAAGAGGTGGGCAATAAAAGTGAGCCGGCCAGTGGGGCCACAAAAGTGTTGAAAGTACTGCAAACGGCGCTGCTGACTTGATTTATGCAGCACAAAGGAGTTCGGCTAACATGGCTAACACAGCGCCCCCTGGCGGACAATGGCTGCAACTTCCGTCGGCCAAGAAAACAATGAGTGGAGTAATTAATTCCAAAGTAAACAATTTATCAAGTGCATTCCGCTGGCGGCCGGATTCTTCAAAAACTATCCACTGTTGGTTGATGCAAATTAAAAAATGTAAAAATTGAACACAGGTTAGCACTTTGTTGATAATCAACCAAAAATGAATTAACTATTTTTTATTATATTTAAAACGCTTATAATCGGAGGTTCCCCCAAAATCTTATTTAAATATATTTCTAACAAATTTTTGCTTTAATTAGGTTGAAACATTAAAAAAAAAAAAAAACAAGTTAAACAATATTATAAATTTTTAATTAAATTGCAAATCTGACCCACATTTTGTAGCCCTTTTTTCAAGTCATACCAAGAATTTGATTTAATTTTCCAAAATTTAAATAGACTGAGCTTTCTTAAAAGTTTATATTGCGTATAGATTTAGAACTGATTCAAGTGTCACGCTCCCCGCATCAGTTTCCTTTAAGATGCACTTTGCAAACTTTTCGAATTAAGCAATCTTTTGGCAGCATTTAACCAACACTTTGCCCGCGGGCCAGTGACCAACACTTACTTATAATCGAATTGGGCAAATAAATCCGAACCGGAAAAGCACCCAAAGCCATCAGCATTATCTACTCTAATTAAGATTGCCGAAAAACTCAGTTTGCCAAGCACTCTTCTCTGGGGCAACCAGAAGTGCATTTCGGGTTACAGCTACGTGCTCATCAGCATAATCAAGTGGGAGTGGGAGTGGGAGTGGGCGGAAAGTGGGTCGGTGGGTTTGGTTTTGGTCGGTTCAGAAGTGGAAGTAAGACTTAACTGCAATTTGAAAGAGATTACAATTATTTGATTGCACTCGAGGGCTGAGAGATGAGAGCTGAGCGGCAAACTTAGCCGAGGCCAAAAGTATTTTGCGAGTCATAAATTTTGAATGCCAAATGCCGGAGATAAAGCTTATCGCGATTGAGGAACAATACTTTGGGATACGCTGGAATGAATCACTCAGCCCAAGGAGTTGAGTCATATGGATACGGGTATATGGTATGCTACAATGAATGGATCCGCTTGTCTTTTCGCGATCTTTTTGGCATCGCCATACCAAACAAACCGATGGCAAGTCTCAGCGCCCTGACAGTTGTTCATAAATTAAGACATCCCACAATAAATAAGCCAAACAGTGAAATCCCTGAGAGATGCACACGTGTCTGCGGTCGGAGGAGCTCTTCAAAGAGTTTGTCAAGCGGCAAAAGTCTGCGGCTAATTATGCGATGCCGGGAGGGGATTCCCCCTGCCCCCACTGCCACATCCCGCATAAAGATCTCGCCTCAGACAGCGACTACAATTGCATTCGCAGTGCATTTGCACAAAAGGCGGAAAAGAAATGCCAAAAAGCCGAATGACATGTGAAAATATGCAAATATCAAAAGTGAATGAATGGGTCTGGGACCGGTCTGGCCCGCTCTACTTCTGCTGGTCTGGTCTGGTCTGGTCTGGTCCTCGGGTTCAGTTCCGTTGGCTCACTCATTAAATATAATGGACCCGGTCGCAAGACGAGACCCAGCGTCGTCACCATGCGCTTTAATTATGATGTCGAAATTCGCATTAATTGCCACAGAAACGACGAGTTCCGACTGCAGCGAAGG